ACTGGAAAATGCATTTATTGACTTTATCAATTCTAAAAATTCTGAATTCTACTCAGACGGAATTAATAAGTTACCAACACGTTGGGAGAAATGTATTGAGAGTATGGGAAATTATTTTGATTAAAGAACATTGCTTTAAAGTAACTAGTTTCTTTTTTTTTGTTTAATACCAAAATCCTGCATTATTTTCCGGACAACCCAATATAATGTATTTATTGGTTTTAATCACAACAATAGTTAGTAAGAACAAAAAAAACAGTTGAACTTGTAAATGTGTGAATTATTAGTGAGGTAATTTATTTTATATATAAAAAATGTTATTGTATATATTAAGTTATTATTTTTGTCAATCATTAATGTCATAATTACTCATTAATTTATTTTACATAGATGGCTTGTTCACCATATATAACCAATGCTGGCCATGTGCTTCATAACCTAAACCATTGCATTTGTTTTTTACGATGAGAAAAAAAAATTCTCTTCTTTCTTGGGAAAGTATGCACTGATGTTTTTAATTTTTTGATTGTTAAAATGTATATTAATTATGTATATTTTCTTTATAAATAGGCCCTGGTGATGACAACATAATGTGCCGAAAGCTTGGTGATTCCAACACTTTTGTCCATGTTTCACCTAGTAAAGACCTTAAAGAAGATATTGAACTCTATATTGTATTTGATGAAAAAACAAACATTATTATTAGTCCTCTTTCTTTTGGTATATATTAAATTTCTGCGGTATTAATTTCGTTCTATGTGTGTCTCGTGCCTTCCCTACCTCCCTTTTTTTGGTTTCCAAACCCCATTGCATTTGTTTTTTCCGATGAGAAAATTTTTTTTTCTTTTTTTCACTTCTTTCTTGGGAAAGTATGCACTGATGTTTTTAATTTTCGATTGTTAAAATATATATTAATTATGTATATTTTCTTAATAAATAGGCCCTGATGATGGCAACATAATGTTGCCGAAAGCTTGGTGATTCCAACACTTTTGTCCTTCTTTCACCTAGTAAAGACCTTAAAGAAGATATTGAACTCTACATTGATTATCTGCAGGTCGATCTACAAACATCAAATACAATGTATTCAAATTTTAACATTTAGGTATAGACTTTAGTCTTATATTGTATGTATATTATAGTCAGACTTGAGCTGTCGTGACCAAATACATCAAGTGCTTAGAGCAGCTGCATTGTGCCGAAGATTGAATCCTGCTCGTGTCACTAACTTTTCATATCAACCAAGACCTTATACAAATCAAAAAAGAATAATTAATTGAAATAATTAACGTGGTCAATTAGGCTACTAAACCTAAATAGACTAATAATAATGTCTTTTTTTCATCAAATACAATGTATTCAAATTTTAACATTTAGGCGTGGAATTTAGTCCGTGATCCAGAAGAAGAGATGAGTAAAGAAAAGGTAGATATAGAAAGAAATTGATAGCAAAGGAATTTAATAGATACCAAAAGTAATAGGAGAGAGAAGAGAAAGATAGATATAGAGATTAGAAAAGCGGAAGCGTCAATATTCCCGGCAATTTGACGTACTGCTATAAGGCGACAGGACTTATTTCCGTGTCGAATATGTTTCTAAAATTGTCCTAAATCGATTTAAAACACTCGCGGCCGGAAAATTGGCGGAAAGGAGGAAATGGGAAAATATCGTCAAAGCTTTCAATGGCGTACTTCGCCCAAGTATTTATTTACGCACGAATCGCGCCGGCTTTCCTCCAAATGGAATCTAATTTCTGAGCATTACGTACCCTTTTCCGTACGACATGAATTCGAATGACTTCACAATTCAAAAGTAAAAAGGCCTTTATTGGCCTCTCGAGCCGTCTCGAATATATTATTTCCGTAAATTGCCTGTAAGTAAATAAAGCACCTGAGCTCTTATTCATGTTTTAATTATGAATATATTCGGGGGGTTGGTGGCCGCACTCATCACTGAAAAGTAAAGGTCCCGGGTTCGAATGCAGGGCCGCTGGATTACTTACAACATGGCATACTTACAAATGAGCTTTTCTCAAAAACACCGGCACCCGGAGGGTTTTATGACATCTGCTGTTGAAAATGAATATATGTGTGGTGTTTAGTGACCGTCAATCAATGATTATTTGGAGATCGTGAGATGCGATCTGGTGTGACGTAGGTTTTAGAAAAACATTTTCTCTATCGTGCCAACGTTTCGATCTTTATTGATGTCATCTTCAGGACCTGGGATTTATAAACATTATTTAAATTTTACAAATACATGTAGGAAGTGAAAAAAATGAATTTATTCAATGCTAGAAAAATTTATATTAAAAAATTGAATTTATACAATACTAGAAAATTTTCGATTTAAAAAAATGAATTTATACAATGCTAGAAAATTTAAGATAAAAAAATTAATTTATACAATACTAGAAAATTTTAGATTCAATCAAAGTATTTGATAGTGGTAGTGAGTACGAATACTTTGATTGAATCTTAAATTTTATAGCATTGTATAAATTCATTTTTTCAATCTAAAATTTTCTAGCATTGTATAAATTACTTTTTTTAATCTAAAAATTTTCTAGCATTGTACAAATTCGTTTTTGTACTTCCTACATGTATTTGTAAAATTTAAACAATGTTTACAAATCCCAGGCCCTGAAGATGATCTCAATAAAGATCGAAACGTTGGCACGATAGAGAAAATGTTTTTCTACCTACGTGACACCAGTCCGCAATCTCACGACCTCCAAATAATTATGAATATATTCATTCTTGAGGGAAGAATTTAAATATTCAGGTACATCGCAATAAAACCAGCAATAGAATTTTACACTTGCGAGATTCCTAAAAATTCTCAACCCTTTTTTAATAATAAAATTATCCGCTAAAATACACGTATAAGCAGAATAAAAACTTATTTTTATTAACCCTCTATACTTATTACATTATAATAAAAAAACCTCAGCATTTCAAGATGGTTTTACTCGGCTGAACAAACCGGTACTCTAGTACAAGCAGGTGTATTACGATAGCAGGACAAAGAGACCTCTCATCAGCATTGAAACGACAGGGAAAAAAATACTGGTGCATTTGTGAAAGGAAAGAACGATACGGGGGTTGACAAGGTGTATTTCTGAGGTCACCAAAAATAGCCAAACATGCCAACCATCCGAATCTCCCTACGCGACTCTTTTTTAGAAAATAATTTACCACTGTTCGGTCCGGTCTGTCTTAAATTCTTCAAGTGTGATGATGATAAGAAAGAAATATTTTTGCACTGTGACCTTTTTTCACATTTCAAAAACATTTTAAGATTACTTATAAAATTAACCCTATGATACATGAGGAATACACTCGAACTCTGAAGTTTCTATGTTTATTGAATAAATCTACTGAAAAATCCGATTACGGAAAGTTAATAAAATTGCGTGTCCGGACGAGACTAAATTGGGCACATTTTTCCATAATTGCTACTCCCTTAATAATGGGTCTTTTGCAAAAACTTTCAACAATTTGATGGTGGTTAATTGGGAAGGAGGTTATTGTACAACGAAAATCATTTAGCCCAGACATGCCGATTTTTTTAGTCGTTAAAATTGAACAAACTACAAAATGTTATTATAGTCTTAATTTTATAAATAAATTATTCATTAATCCTTACTAATTTTTGCCTGAGGTTTTATAAAATTTAACTAAATGTCAATCAATTTAATGACAATATATAAAACTCGAATAAATAATTGGTTATCAAGGCTGTGATTAGAAAGGTATTGAGTTGATGTAAATCCGTGCTCAATCTAATTATGTACCGAGTAATTAGGTCGAGAACTTAATTTTCGTTAACCTTAACGCTCATGCTTGTTTGCGAAGGATTGTTTTTAATTTTTGTATAACGTTAACGTTTTAGACAAGGATATGGTATCTGAACCTATATTTCTGAGCTTAATACTTCAAGAGAGCTAGTTCATAAATGATATTTGTCAGGGTTTGCTCAAACGAGCTGATAAGATTTCACTTTAACAATACGTACATTTGAATTTAATTACACCGCATGCCTTTTTACATTATTAATAAAAATTGTTGATTTCTTTTCTCTTTATTCATTTATGTAACGGTAATTTTGTGTTCTAGATCTAATTTGCAAATGTTCCCTCTGAGTTTTTAGTTTTTAAATAGCGAAGCTTTTGTACCTAAACTTTTAACAATTCTTTCAATATTTTTTCTACTCCTTGATCTATTAAGCTGACAATCATTCTTCAACCACCTTTTTCCCGATATATCTCCCTACTTTTTAGTTCACTCGGCGGCATATCAAATTGTCTTAAACATAGATCAATCAAACTTACAGATTTTTCACAATTCTTTCGATATTACTTCTTTGCCACGGTCTTTTTGCCTATTTACCCACATTCTTTTATTTTATGTTAGCTCTTTTTCTTCTCCAGGACACACACATCGAAAAGCTTTCTTTGCCCTTTGGCAGATGTACTAAATATGGTATGGTCTCGGATGGTGGAAAAAGTTACTAGGAAGCGGGGTTTGTATTCCCCAGATACTGCAGCCTTCCGGCTTATTGTACCTTCCTAGTTCCTTAGTTCAGTCAATAGACTCAATCCTTCTTCTTAGTATCAAGTATCAGGTCATTGACTGTTGCTGCTGCAATTTGATTCCCTAATTCTTTTCCGTTCGTTAGGATAAACCTCCATTGAGCTGTTGCTTCGCATTCGAAGAAAAGTGGCTGTTTCCTCCTCCTCATTACATAATCTGCAAATGGGATCATCGCTGTATGTACCCATGTTGTGTAGATATTTTTTATTTTCTCAGATACCAGTGTCCGGTTAGTACTCCTACCACTCTTCTGAGTTTGGCCCTCTTCAACTGCAGCAGTGTTTTTGCCAGTTTCGGTGAGGGTTGTTTCATCATAAGTTTACTATGCCTAGCACTAGAGAGAGAGAGAGAGAGTTTATCCACTTCTCCTTTTGTTTTGCTTGGATCCATTCTGCGATGGAGGATTCTGTATTTGTTTTTGTTATTCCAAGAATAGGTTCGGGGCCTATGTATGGTCTTGCAGATCCTTCTCTGGCCAGTCTGTCTGCTTTCTCGTTACCCAAAATTCCCCTGTGCCCTGGCACCCAAGATATCATCAGGTTGTTGTGTTTCCCCAGGTTTTGGAGATTTTGGATGCATTCACTGACTAATTTTGATGTGATTCTTGTGTAATGCTTTAATAGCTGCTTGGCTATCTGATCTTATGAGGATTTTTGTCAGTGTAACCTCTTTTAAGATTTCCCAGGGCACAAGCATTGATGGCATGTATTTCTGGTTGAAAGACCGAAGTAAACTTCCCTAATGAGTTTGATTGCTCATGTTTTGGGCTTGTACACAAAACGCCTGATCCGGTTCCTTCGTTTGTTTTGGGGCCATCTGTGTACCATATCATTGTATCTGATGCTTTCCTGAGTTCTTCCTCTCCTTTATAGTCCGTTGAGACTTTATAGGAAGTTGTGAAGATTGTTTCCGGGATCATGTAGTCAGTCCCCATTTCTAATAATGGGTGTCTGATTTTGTTGATTATGGTTTTATGCCCGAATTGTTTAGTTCCTTTCCAATTTAATTGTTTCTGGAGCCTAAGTGAGCTTTTCCTAGCCTATCCTTGTATGAATATTTCCAGTGGAGGTAGGTTTAGCAAAGTTTCTAATGCGTTTGTAGGGGTTGTTCTCATCGCCCCTGTGATACATAGGTTTGCTAGTCTTTGTACGCTGCCTAATGTTTGGGTAGCTACTTTTTGTTGAGCTTTGTTCTACCAGGTTGAATCTACTAAATAAATAAACTTATGACTTGTTAGGAATGGCATATGCATTAAACTCGGAGTAACAGAAACTGCAGAGCATGTCCTCTGTTGGTGCGAAGGCCTATGCAGGCTGATTGTGAGATTTCTATTCCTGGCCAAGGCTTGAGGGATACACACGATAGACTTTAACAAAGCTTTGCGATTTGATACATAGTTTGACGAAAAGCTATAGATAATAATGGAGATTGTGCAATATACTGATTTTCGCCATAGTGCTTAAAGCTGATTCCTTTTTACCTTAACATTAACCTTTGTAACGAAATAAAAAACTAAGTGTATAAAAATAACGTCAATTCCGCAGTTCAGATGAAAGTTTCGAACGTTTAAATGAATGAAACTTTACACTTTCTCAGAAAGTTTGGTGGTCAGTAGTACACGATATGCTCAACCCTAATCGAGTGTGCATAACGGGTTATCCCATGCGCGGAGAATGAGTACATTTCCAGGTGAAAAAACGCACAGTTTTACGCGAGTGATTTTTGGCCGGAACTCAGCTGAAATGAAATCTCTTTCTCTCTCTCTTTCTCTTTCTATCTCTCTCACTTCTCTATCGGTCTGGAAACGAACGGTTCGATTTCACGGAATAGACAAATTAGCCTTAGTCAAGCCATACGTTCTCCCGCTGTCTCCAGGACCGCTAGCACTATACAAAATTCCTCCTTATAAAAGAAACAACGAAAGAAATAATGAAATACCTGGGAGACGTGGAAACTCTGATCTTTTCTACTGTAGAATCCTGCACTGAAGGCTCGATTATAATACTTTTCACTGATCTCCGGGCATTGTTGTTATTGTTATTGACATTTCCACCTCCAGCCCTGAAAGAAAAAATTAATAATTAACATTATACACAAAACCACTTAACAGATTTATTTTCTATCTTAGCTGTGGCTCAGAAGAACCACACCATGTAACATAAAATAGAAAGCATGATATAATCTCGTGACAAATCATCACCCGTCTACACCTGTTTCAAAATAGTTTCGTCGGTCTTTGTCTATCCTCTTCTATTATTTCATCTCGAAATATTTAGGCAATTTTTAAAGAACATGACTGGCCCGGGTGAAAAATTACATCAAAGAATAAGAAAAGCTCCTATGGCAGAAAGTACAATAGTGTTTTTATGCATATTAACCCTCGGCGATAGCAATGTTTCACCATATCCATGTAACTATCTACCATGTTGAGGCAATTCTCGCCTACCCACTGCAATAACAAAACGGGTTTCAGACAAAGTTTTGATATTAAGACAGAACTACAGGATTAACTTCAACTCCCAAACTCTTCTATCAGCCTTATCCTTCTTTCCGGCAAGTTGTAATTAAATTGCCCGGTTGAGTGTAGTTATAGACTTTTGATAAAAAAAAAAAACTCTAAAGTTTTAGAATTATCGACTTACGATTTTAAAAAAACGCTAAGCAATAAAAATCAGTACAAATAAAAAGGGTATCAGTAAGTCCCTATCATATTTATTATGGAGCAACTTCTTCCACACTCAAGTCGATATTTATGATCCTCAATCAAGGATAATTTTTAATTAATTAAGGTTTTAAGTTGAGATAAATAAAGCCAGTGTCACGAGCGGGATTCGAACCCAGACCTTCGGCTTGATACGCATGGGGTTGAAATGGGAAGTTAATGCCCGAGGGGATCGAAGTCACGATAGCTCAAGTGGTAGAGTAGCGGCGTATCAAGCCGAAGGTCGTGGGTTCGAATCCCGCTCGTGACTGACTTTTTTATCTCAACGTAAAACCTTAATTAATTGAATGTTATTAATTGGTCAAGCGGACTAGGAAAAATAGTGAATTTGAAAATTTTAAATTTATTTAGTTCAAACAAACCAACAAAGGTAAAGTTTTTGGATCAAATGGTACTTTTTAAAAAATAATCAGAGGCAAATTACTTCTTTCAATTAATTAATCTTTTTATGTAAGGTCTTGATTGAAATGAAAAAGTTAGTGAGCGGGATTCGAACCCACGACCGTCGGCTCAATACGCCGCTGTTCTAACCACCTGAGCTATCGTGACAATAATCAGAGCATCGGAAGTCTTTTTTATTATAATTATTTTTGAAGTTAGCGGAGCTAGAAGATAAGGTTGGGTATTGTTATATTCCTCATATATGTTTTTATCTTCAAAATATTTCTTCTTTTTGAATTTCTTAACGATATTACAAAAAATAAATACCAAATTTTTCTTTGGTTTAGTCATATTTTATTAGAACCCTCGAAACGGTATAAGAATGCCGAACTTCTCGACATATCTTCCAACTTTTAATTTGTCTTTGTGCTGAATTTTCGAGCTTTTTTGGCAGCGAATTTTTTATTTGCTCCAAGTAAAAATTTTTGTACAACAAGCTTGTACAAAGAAAAATCACGTTTTCCCACATAAAATTGCACTTTCGTTTGAACTTTATCGAACGATTTTGATATTGAGTTGTTATAATCATTGAGTACGTGTTTTAAAGTATTTATAGCTAAAAATTGTAAAATTAATGTACATTTTATAAATAAAAAATTTCATGTTAGACAAAAACGTCTTTCTTTTTTACAAATTTTATAGTTTTGTCAAATTAAAATTACCTTCTTTAGATGAAAAATATCCTACGCATAAATATTCGTCACACATTCATAAATATAAAAGTTTATTCAAATTTATAAAATGGTTCTTCAGAAAACGCCCAAATGCAGAAGAGTTTTTAAGGATAAGGTCGGTCTTGTCTGAACTTAATGAGATTTAAACAGTTTTATTTTATTCAATATTAGTAAAAGCCGTTCCTAAACAATGAAAAATTATTTTCATTCAATACTTAATACACTTTTGTATCAATTTGATTATTTATTATTTAAAAAATGTACGTTTGTACGTTAAATGCCAATGACAGAAGAAATAACGTCAGGGTTATAAGCAGGCAAAGGCAAGTAGTGGAATTATCATTTCCTAAAACATCACTTATTCTGAGCGCCAAGGATGTCCTAGAGCTCCTCTTTCTGTTGATCGAAGCGGGTATTTTAATTGTAAATTGTAAAAGTTAAGAGTCATTAAGCTCTCCCCTCAGGAACAACCTTCTTAGCTTTTTAAACCCAAGGCATGATCTTTATAAATCATATAAAGATTATAAATTTTATAAATCAATTTCAAATCAAATCGTTTGTATATTCAATAAACTCGGTCTTATTTTGGATTTTTGGACAAATTATTTGGCAAACATGTTTATTCTTCTTACAATCTGCTAAATAACATGAGGTGGTGGCATTTATTAACACATACGATTGTGTAATGGCAAAGCATCATCTACAACTGACAGCTTATGTTAAAAGCTGGTGTTACCAGATGAAATAAACCTAACCTCGTAATTTCTGCAGATTTCTTCTGTTTCTAACTTTAATAAAATTTTCTATTGGAATTGTTAATTAATACAATATTATATTATTGAAAAGTAAACATGTTCATGCGATAGAATGTAAAAGGTTTTGTAATAATAAAATAACAGTCTGTTTTCACCGATCAATATTTCCTAATAGCTCAACTATCAAATTCGTCAGAGGACAAACTTCGTGAGTGGGTCATTATAAGTGGAAGACGTTAAGATCGTGCTTGAGACATGCTTCGAAAGTTGCGACACGGCCGAAACTTCGTCCGTCGAAAGTTATAAATTTAAAAGAATCGAGGGCTGTTTTAACTTTTTGCACCCTTTCTAGGTCACAGCGGTCATAACCGTTGCCGTTCCACTGAGAGAGAGAGAGAGAGAGAGAGAATTCGTAAAAATAAAATACAGGCCCCTTGCAAATTAAACGGAAATCGGATGTGAAAAGAGAATTTATTGCCTTTGCGGGAGAAAGAAAAGAAATCGCCCCCTTGCGATTGTAAGCTTCTGATGTAAAAGAAAAGCAAGGAATAAGTTATTGTATTGGTCTGTCTGATAATTTATGAAACAATACCTACAATAAACTCGAAAGTGTTTTTTTTCATATTAGAGTAGTTTTTAGTTAAATATGACATTATTTTGCCATTTGCATGCTCTTGGTCATAAACGTTTCTTTTTTATAATTTTATTGGTACCCTATAATGCCGGCGCTGCCACGAGAAACCAGCCAATGTCATCCTCAGTTTGAGCGATTAAGGAGCAAGGTCTCGTCTATGAAGGCGACGTGGCGGGTTCTCGGGATGGGAATGTGTGGGCTCGAGCTTAAGGTTAGGATGGATCGAGAAGTTGGTGTGAAACTTTTGTAATTTGTCTTGTATCAATTCGTTCACAAAATAAAAGTTGAGGTCGTTGTGGATAGTGAGGTAGTGACATAGCAAGAGGAGCTTTGATCTGTCTGAGGACTTTTGAATGAAAGGTTTGGATGCGCTGGATGTTGGATGGCTTGACAGAACCCCACAGTTTACTCCGTATGTCCAAAGTGGTTGCAGACAAATCTTGTATTATAACATTAGTTTAGTGTTGATGGTTAAGACGAAATTCGGAACAGAAGCTTTTTGTAGTTGTCTAAGTCTCCTGTTAAGTTGTCTCTTAAGTGTTGTGTGGGGATTTCACGTCAATATGCTATCTAGGTATAGTCCTAAGTAAAGAAAATCAGGATGTCTGTTTTGGTGATGTACAGTGGAGGACAAGACTGTATTTTCCATGTGATTGTACAATGAGTAGATTTTTCTTCATAAATCTTGGCACCGGTCTTCAATAATCTCAAGTTGTTCTTGGATATTGGAGGTAGATTGGATAGAATTCAAGTTATAGGACAAAATTACGTTATCGCCTGCTTATGTGGATATGATTGTATTGGGTTGTATAGGTAGGTCACCAGTATAAATGAAATAAAGGATGGGACCTAGAATGCACACTTGTGGGACGCCGGCTTGTATCTTCCGAGAACGTCACCTCTCTCTGAAGCAGCGGTCGGTTAGATAGGATTTCAAGACAAAATAATGAGTGTGTAGGAAGCGTTTAAGTTTATAAAGCATGCCCGGGTGTCAGACCCTATCAAAAGCTGTGCTACATCTAAGAACGCACCTGGGAAACCTTGCTGGAACGTGGAATGATGAAGACGGAAGCCGAATCGGAGAGAAGGAATGATTTTATGAGAATCTAGGATGGGTATTAAGCGCTTTAAAAGGAGCCTTTCAAGAATTTTGGTCATAAAAGTAAAAACTTTTTTTTCTTTTCGTTTAATGTATTGTTTTTAGTGTCCTAAGCTTGAGTTGTTTTAGTTCATATGCTTACTTGATGGTGGAACCAATTAAATATAACTGATTTTGAACCCTGGAAGATTAATTCTGTTAATATTGTTATCATATATTGTTAATTTATGTAACATAAAATTCTTTTTAAATCCAAATTGTTATAATAAATAGCTAACATGCAATCCAACCAAGGAAATATTCCCGGCGAAATCTTACTTAAAAAGTAAAAATTTAATGACAGCAATAAATAATTTTGTACAAATGAGTCAAGCGTTTTGTTTCTTTCCTTTTTACAGGTTTCCGCCCTTTTAAAAGTACAAGCCAATAACACCGTCTTTCCTCGAACCATAAATATAAGATGGGTAAGAAATGAGCGTTCCTTTGAAAAAACCGTCGCTCAGCGAAAATTATTCCATTGCACCATAAAACGCAGGATATAAAGCGAGAGTCAGCGGTCCTACAAGTGGTTAGTTAATTTTCAAATGAGAAAAAGGCCAATTTCAGCGGTTGCATGTTTAGGTGAGACCAATCACGACGTGATGCTGGCTTATATACAAATAACACCCATACCGGTTTGCAACGTTAAAAACCATGCTGGCCCCCGTTGTTTTTTATGATTTCTTCTAAAATATAT